CTGAAGATACACCAGACACAAGCTTGTGTCTGCTTGTCTGTCCTTGGCAGGTAGAAAAGTAGGGGGAAACCTGCTTGCTTTCTGGGATTTCTTTGGTGCCCTGAGTATTGAGGTCATCTGAGTCTTTCTGAAGGCTGGTCGGCCCTCACTTGTCAGATGGGAAAACTGAGGTTCTGAGGGGCAGAGGCCACAGTGGGAGCCATTGGAGGGCTGGAATCTGGGTGTTCTGTCTCCAAATGCCACATTCCTTCTATGCCATATAACACCTCCCACCTACAGAGTTTGTTTGCAGAGGACAGTCACATGTATGCATGTCTGTGTTCCCCACAACAGCCCTGTGGGATGGGCAGTGGGGGCCCCACCAGCTCCCTCATTCCACTGACACAGATACAGAAGCACAGAGAGCTGAAGGGACCTGTCCAGGGTCATGGTTGGACCAAATGACCAGAACTGAGTGTTTTCCGTCCTTTTCTAAGCTGAACCAATGCATGAGATGACAATAGGGCTTTCTGAACCACCATAAGGACCCCACAAGTGCCCCCAGCCTGGTCCCTCTGAGTTCCTCAAGGATCACCAGACGGGAAGGCCCAGCAAGGCCTCCTTGCACATGTAAAGGGCCCATGGTATCTGGCCATGCACAAAAATGAGCATTCAAATGGCTGTTATACAGGGAATTCAGAACACTGGGGAAGAGATGAATCAAGGAACAACCCCTGGGGGAGGCAGGCTGCTGCAGGCTGAAGGCGGGAAGGGTTGGACGACGGAGAGGAAGGAGGTAGACCAGAGAGGTGGGAAAGGGGAGACACTGAGATGAAGGATGAGAGAGGGAAATGGACTGGAGGTTCCACATTTCAATACAACCTCATGAGCTGGGGCTATGATCACAAAGGGGGAGAAGCTTGTTGAGGGTCCCTGGCTAAGGAGGGTAGAGTTGGGACTGGAAGTCAGTCTGTCTCACCCCGAGTCCAGGCCCCACCCACGGGATGGGGAGAGGGACTAGCCCATCTAGAGCTTCCCTGTGCAGCACTGTGCCAGGGATCCACCCACAGCGCATCATGAATGGCACTCCTATTGTCCTCCCAGGGAAATGGGCTCAGAGAAGTGAAGCCATATGCCCAAGGCCACACAGCAAGTTCACTTGAGAGCTCAGGTCCTGTTCAGCCCAGCCTGATGCTCTGCTCTTTCTATCATACTGCACAGCTTCTCCCCATTCGCTCTGCAGAACAGAGCCTAAGGTCTGTGGGGCCCACGGGGGAGCTGGGCACAACCTCCTGAGAGCTTCCAGCTCAGAGCTCCCGACTGCTCAGACCTGTGTGGGCAAGAGGATTGATGCAGAAACTCATCCTGGTAGTGTCATCTATCTGCATGTGGCCAAGGACAGCAGGGCCTATAAAAGTGAGACCAATGAGATCTGGTTGGGTGGTGGGATGGTGGATGAATTTTGTTCTTCATTTTATTTGAGATATTTGTGCAGTGCAAAACTCAGTCACCATGACGAGGTTGTGTCTGTGTGGACCAAGCACGAAGTACAGTGTCACAGGCTAGAAGTGGGTCCCAGGTGGTCAGGGGGTGACTGTCACAGGGCAGTGGTGGCCAGGGAAGCCTTCATGCAGGAGGTGGGGCTTGAGCAGATGGGAAGGAGTTAAATGGGCAAAGAGGAAGAAATAAGACTAGGAAGAGAGGACAGCTTCCTCAGAGGCAGACTGAAGGGAGCAAGACAAAACAGATAGGAGAGGCAGAGTGAGAGATGGTGCATGGCAAATGTACTCTCGGGGCTAGGAGTGGTGCTGAACGCAGTGCCCACTCAGTGGGCCACTCTCCAATATCCCAACTCGCAGCCTGTCCATGTCCTGCTCATAGACAGTGATGGGGAACTTACTACCTTACAGGCAGCTTCTTTTGTCCAATAATGATTCTGACTGTTACAGATTTCTCTTTCCAATTATACTGCTTTCTAAGGAGCCAACTATGCCCCTTTCTCAGTGTCTCCCCATGAATTTGAACCGAGCCATAATCCCTTGCCCTGCTGACCCCATGCAATTGGATTTCTGATGCCAGGGCTTCAGGCTCGCCATGGAGGTCCACTTTCTTCCATCTGGTTCATCCTGTGTCCTGTGATCATCTTTCTGCATCCTGACTCTTGCTTTCTTTTTGCCACCCTCCCTGTGCTTGTGGGCTCTGAGAGAACACTTTGCACATTGTGGGCTCTGATGGGAACACTTTGCACATTGCAGCAGGACAGAGCTCTGGGGAAGGCCACTAGAAACCATCCACCAGATTACTGGCAACCTAAGAACCAACACAAACCCACTGAGATCTCCAGGTTCCCGCATGCCCCTCTCCTTCCTGCCCACAACGACAACCTGGACACCTTGACTGGTGTCTCCTGACATCCAGAGGCCCCAGGCCTACTCCATCTACCCAGGCTTCCAGCCAGATGAACAGATGGAGACCAAGGTCGCTGGTTCACTTGGGCTCAGAGGGTCTGCAGTGGCTTCTTGCGGTCACCCTTTCTCATCTCAGTGCCCACAGGCCACCCTTCCAAGATGACTGGGAACCTTGCCAAGAGCAACACTGACCCCACAGCCCAGGCTTCACAGGCTTCACTGGGATCCCTGCTGAGACTTGGAATGCCTTCTGTCTGTCTCTGGTCCCCTTGTTCTTCCCCACTAAGGGGTGAGCTCCCTTCTGAGTCTCCAAGGGCCTGCAGGCCTCAGCTCTCTTGCAGGATCTGTTGGTCTCCTGGGACTTCTGGTCTCCCTGGGGACATCCCACCCTCTCCAAGTTCTGAGGCTTCTTGACAGGGAGTTGGCACACACAGCCAGAGAGCTCCCCAAGCTCCCCAAAGCACCTCCTCACTCCCCACTTCTGCTTCTCGTTCTGAAATCTCCTGCTCCCATCCCCTGCCTTCAGTATCGTCTTATTTTTGGCACATCTGTTCCCACGGGGCCCTCCCTCCCCTGCTCTGAGACCCGGCCATCCTGTGACTCACTCCAGGTTGGCTGGCTGGCTTCCCATCCATCTCTGCCTATCATGTCTTTTCCAGGGTCTCTCTGTACCTGTGCCCTCCTCCTTGGCTGGTTTGTGATGCTGTTGGACCAGTGATTCTGAACACATTCTCTCTCCAGCCTCCTGCCAGCATCCTCCCCTCTTCCCTCTTCTCTGAACTGCCTGAAGTTTCCATGCCTGCCCTGGGCTTCCACACAACCAGGACTTACCTGGCCACTGCCCCCAAGGATGCCCTGTCTGTCAATCACTTCATCCCAGAGGGCAGAACCAGGGCCACAGGGCTGTGACCATTTATTGAGCTCTCATGTGGCCCTATGTTCTAAGAGGTCATTTGAGACTTTCTGTGGTCTCTCAGTGAGACCCCAGGGGCTTTGCATTTGCTATCTCTCTGCCTGGAATACTTTCTCTTCTCAACATTCTGATTTTAGGTCAAATGCAACCTCTTCAGACAGACCTTCCCTGACCAACTCAGATTCTTGTCCCCTTCCTGCAGGTCTCTATATCTCATTATCACGGTGGAACATCTTCATCTGACTTACCATTATCTGAAGTTACCTTGCATGTTTGCTTGCTTGCTCCTTTATTGGTTCTCTCCTTTACTAAATTCTAAGCTTCAGGACAGCAGGGACCTTGCTTGTTCCCTTAACCAATGGCACACAGTATATGCTTAGCAAATGCTGGTTAAATAAATGTTGGATAAATAAACGTCCCCACCTCTATTCTCACTCTTACCATCCTGCCCTACAGATCTGTTCTTATTTCCAGGACATTCCACAGTCTGTCAGACCTCTGTGCCTTTGCACGTGGTTGCCTCTACTAGGCGGGCCCTTTCTCTACAATTGGACTTGGAAAGCTCCTATTCAACCTTTAAAACCCCGCTCAATGGCCCCTCCTCCAGGGAGCTCTGCTCCTTCCTTGGCTTTCTCACAACAGCTACCTCACACCCCTACTGTGGGATTAGCTGTTGGTAGGCCTAAACCCCCAAGGCCATTCATGCTGGGGGCTCCCATGGGCAGGGGCTGGGCTTGAAACACTGGTGGGTTGGGCTGGAGATGGTCCCAGCATTTGGCCTGAGTGCCCAGAGTAGCTTTGCAGAGGGTGTTTGCTGAGCACTGCTGGACACGAAGGCCTTTTGTGTGTCCCTGTGAAAAGGGGTCTCACCTGGCTGGTATCTCACCCCTGCAGGGTCTCCCCGCCCCTTCCCTGCCTCTGTAGCTGCCAGAGTGAGCCTGTAAAAATGTAAACATGATCAGCTCATGGCTTATAACCATTCCAGAGAATCCCCATCACACTGGGAATACTTTCCAAACTGCTGACCATGGACCATGAGGCCTGACCTCTGGCCTCTCCACTCTCTCTATTTTACTTCAGCCTCCAGCCAGACCTGCCTCTGGGCTTTTGCCCCTGTGGTTCCCTCTGCCTGGTGTGCTCTCCTTCGGATAGTCACAAGGCCAGCTCCTCCTCACCACCCACACTCAGTACACCTTGTGCCCTGTTTGTTTTCTTCACATGCTTCTCCCCACAGGAATGTTCACATCGCCTCCCTGCTCCTCACTTCGCCACAAGCTCCCAGGGCTGGGCCTTCCCTGCCTCACTCACTGCCACAGCCCCGTGCCTGGCCCTGTTCCTGGCACACAGTCAGTGGCCAGAACGCTTATCACCTGACTGATTCTCATCTCTGATGACAGTGGGCTTCAGTGTTCAGCTTTTTAGTAAACCAAGTCACTAGGAGGTCAATGCCATGAGGGCAGGGATGCTTTGTCCATTTTATTCACTGCAGTCTCCCCAGGGCTCGGGCTGCTGAATGCACAGTAGGCTCAATGTGTGTTTGTGAGGGAAAAGGAAGGCAGTTCTCACTTGGGGTTGAGTTGGCTGGAGATACCAGAGCCAAGGATAAAAGTCTCTGAGTCCCTTCTACCTCATGAAGGGGACAAACAGGCATCCTCTGTGCATGGCAACAGGAGTGAGACCAACAGTGGGCTGAAGCTCACCTGACAGCAGCATGGGGTCCTTGTCCACGGACTTGCGCACCTGGTCAGACTCTCCAGTCAGGGAGCTTTCATCGATCTTGAGGTCATTGCCCTGGATGAAGAGGCCGTCGGCAGGGAGGAGGTCACCTGGCAAGAGGAAGCGCAGGGGAGTCAGCAGGCTCTCAGCTGTCTAGAAGGCTGGAACGTTCCCTTAGAGGTATGATTACATGGAAGGTTTGCCATCAGGGACAGAATGCTTAGAGCTCCCAGGGTGGGGGAACCAAGATGGTGCCCATAGAAGGCCCATGTGCAGCTCAAGACTGGAGCTACGGTGCATAGCACAGGTCTGAGGGGCTAAGGCTGGGCCCCCGCAACCCTCACTCAAGCGGGCATGTGCTTTATGAAGCATTTATCTCAACCTCACTTGGACTGGGAGTGCAGATCTCCCAACGACTCGTTCTTCTTTGGTCTCAGTTATGGTTTGGGGAAATCTTTTGGAAGGAACCAGTCTGTTTTGGCTGGGTTGAGAAGACCCCAACCAAGTCACATTGTCAAGGGGAAATCAAGCCCTTTAGGGCAGAGTGAAGAGGGGCACTCCAACCTCTCCCCTAACTTCTGCCTCAACTTACCCAGGACATCCCTGGCTCACACTCCCTTTGGCGCCAGCCTGCCTGTTTTCTCCATGGCAGTAGCACAGGCCCAGAATATTCACTTACTTCCTTACACTCTCTAAAACATCTCTAGCCCAACAACCGTCCATGAACAGCCAAATCAGGGATGGGAAATAGATTTCATCTAATAAGCCCATTCTGAGTATTAGTGGTTGTTACAGTGCTGTGCTGAGAAGGCTTCTGAAGCTGTGTTCAGGCTCTGAGCTGTGACTGATTAGTAGTGTCTGCTACGGGTGGAAGTCTGGAGAATGGCAGCGCACGTGCCATGTATTTGTCATTTCTGATTTAAATGGATTCTGGGATTGTACCTCCTCCAGGAAGTACCCTTCCACCTCCTAAAGGATCTTAGAAGATATCTTGGCTTGGGATCAGCCTTCAGGAATGTACCCCTTTCCTTGAGCCAGTCTCTTTGCATCAGCCTGGCCTGTCCCACCTATGCCCAGAATCCAGCTTTAGAACCTGGCTCTGTGGCTGGGACACTTACCGTATTTGACCTGAGCTATGTCCCCAACCACGATCTCAGCCACAGGGATCTGGACCACCTGGCCAGCCCGGACCACGGTGAACTTCTGTTCCTGCTCGATGCGGCTCTGCAGGCCCCGGAACTGCTTCTCTTTGCTCCAGTCATTGAAGGCCGTGACCAGGACCACACAGATGACTGAGAGGAGAATGGCGGCCCCCTCGATCCAGCCCGCCTCTGCCTCTCCTTCATCCTCTGCCCCACCCTGGGCCGTCGCGCATCCTGGAAGACCAGACAGAAGCAGGCAGATTGAGGTGAGCCAGGCAGGAGAGGCCTCATGACCTGGATTTACAGCCCAGTTCTGGCAAGTAGCAAGTGTTAAGAATCAAATGATAATTACCCAATTATTCAGTGTGTCTGGGTACCAAACCCTGTGCAGAGTGCTTCACATGGATCATCTCACAGGGTACTCACACTGCCCATTTTACAGATATGGAAGCTGAGGTTTCTCAGAGAGGTCAAGTGACTTGTCCAAGCTATGAAGGGCAAGTAGAAAGCCAGAATGTGAACCCAGGGAGTCTGCCTTCAGAGCCCACCATCTTAGCCCCTGAAGTTTTCTGCCTTTGTTCTAGCTGTGAAATCTCAGGCAAATGCCTCCCTTTCTGAAACTCATTTTCTCATCTGGGTAAAATGAGAAGAATATTCTTTATCTCAGGCACTACTTTGACAGCTGAAATTTAATGTGGTAAAGTTCACGGATGCTATAGCACAGACAAGACACAGAGGAAAGAAAAGGAGAATTTTCTCTAATTGATAAGAAAAGACAAGGAATTTTTTCTAATTCGTAAGAAAAGAGAAAAAGTGAGTTTTTCCCCCCCACAGAATAAATGCAACCATATTGCATGTGCTTTAGTCTAAAAAGGCAGTTTTGCTGATGTCCTCTTCTTCTGTAGGAGTCTCATTACGTTGCCCAGGCAGGTTGGGAAGACGAGCTGGTTCTAATTCTGCTGCTGCCTCTGCATGATTTTGGACAAGTCATTGCCTTTCCCCAGCATCAGTGGCCTCATCTGCAAAATAGGGATCACTGAAGCTGCCTTCCAAGGCTCGGGGAGAGGAAGGTGGAAACTCCTGGCCAGAGTTCAGTACACAGGAGGTTCTAACTCAGTCCTTGTCAGACAGCTGAGGAGTGAACCCCACTCCACAGTGAGGACGCTGATGCTTGAGCTGCAGGCCGCCTGTCTGACCTACAGGGATCCTGCACCCCACACCCTTGCACCACTGAGCCCCTCCTAGTCTAGACCCCCAAAACTCTCAAGGTTCTGCCAGGCCCACAGGGGAACAGAAAAAGAACCCAGGCACATCTTATCTGAAGGTGTCAGACCCAAAGGTAGGTCCTACCCAAGCGATGCTGGGCCTAAGGCCTTTCCATGCCTCTCTCTCATCTCCACAAGGATCCTGAGAGCAAGAAGGGGAGGCCTAGGAGGTGAGGTACCACAGCCAGGCCAGGACACGCCCAGGCCTTCACTTCCCCTGGGATGGGGGGAGTGGCCATTTCCACGGAAAGGAATCTCCAGCAGCATCTGACCATCTTTCCTGGAAAACTCAGTGCAGTTCCCCTCCACAGGGGCCAGGTGGGACTCGGGACACCTTGCAAGGCCTGCTCTGCACCCAGCATTCATGCTAACCCTCAAGCTGGCTGAGAGAAGGGTAGCTGTTCAGAGAGAAGCAGACACTTACCTGGGGTCACACAGCAGATAATGGGGTTTGAATCCGGGTCTGGAATCTGACACCAGACCGGGCCTGTTCACTCTCCCTGAGCCCAGCAGCCCCCTCTGCCATGTGTTTGCCAAAGATTCATGGCTGAGCATCTGGAAATCCAAGTCTGTCTCAAGGAATAGAGAACAGAAGCTTCAAGAGACCCCAGTGGAAGCTTCTGGAAAGCCAGGGGTCAGAAGCAACATGACAAGAAGGCCAAGTGGCACTCAAGGAATGTTCATGGGCTTTCGGCTCCTGAGAAGGTTGGGCCCAAGCCTGGGGAGATACGGACTCACTGTGGCCCAGCTGCATGTGCACTGGAAATTTCCAGGTCTTACACTGAACCAGCCGTTCCCTTGGGGCCAGTAAACAATGCCACCATGTGGGGTTCCCAAAGCCACCTTTCTCCCTCCTTGGGAGTTTCAGACTTTCCCAGTGATTTTAAACTGTTTAGCAGGACCCGCCTTGGAGTAACGGTAATCATAATCGTGCTAATGATAACCAAGTTTGAATCCTAGCTGCGCTAACTGCTGTGTGCCTGTGAACTTGCTACGTAACCACTGTGCCTGCTTTGTTTTGTTTTTGCTCATCTGCAAAATAGCAGGCATTCTCTCATGAGGTGCTTGACAGGATTAAGAGAGACTTCGTGTAAAACACCCACTGCAGTGAGCACACAGTAAATGCTCAGTTAAAGCTGGTGCTTTTTATTTTCCAGTATGTGAGTGAGCATTATCGCTCAAGTTCCATAGCCTGGCTTTATGAAGCCCGGAGGCCCATATTACAAAGGGGCTCCTGCTGGGTTTGATGATGGAGGAGAAGAACTGGGGAACGGTGCCTCCTGTACCACTATGAAGACTCCATAGAGACCCCAAAGACTAGGAAACACATGTGAACCTTGCTAAACAGAAACCCAGCATATGGAAATGCATTCTCTTGGGGTTTAGGGGCAGGGAGTGGGATTACAGAGCCCCATGCTGCATTTTACAAGACTTTTGTTATCCCCTGCCCCTTGCTATGTGCTCTGGAAATGGGAAGGCTGTTATTTCCCCTGCTGTGTGCTTCCTCAATGGGACCCACATTAGAGTAGCTACTGGAGCATTTGGACACTTAGACACAAAGCAATGGCAAGCTTTCAGGCTCTGGGATCAGAAAGACCTAGTTTAAATCCAATCTCTGCTGTGTGACTTTAGGTAAGTGACTTGGCCTCTCTGAGCCTCAGGTTAGACAGCTGTGAAGTGAGATAACCCCAGGGATTTGTGAGCTAAGGGCCTGATACCTGAGAAATACATGATAAAAGTTGGTCCTCTTCCCTTTTCATGGGCTTTTTTCCTTGGACTGGGCTCTGAAAGCTGAGGGCACAGTGACTGAGTGGGATTTGTACCCTGTTTCAACTCCCACCCCTACCTGCTGCCCTTGCTGACTCTATACCATGGAACCCTCAGAGGGCACTCACTCTGCCAGCAAAAGCCGATTAGCTTTTATCTCCTGAGAACTGTCTGATGGTCACATGGGTGCCCTGGGATGGATAGAAAGTAGGAGTGCAGATCACTGGGGCAGGGATTTGGCCATCTGGAAGCTGTCTGCCCCTAGGAACAACTCCTGCTGCCCCTGGAACAATTAGGGAGAAGAGAATAGGAAGGGGAAGGAAGAGGGGAGTGGGTGGGTCCTGCTGAGATCTCCTCTGGGGCTCCCTTGGACTGGGGCAGGGACAGGATCTGCAGATTGTGGCCATAGGGGCCAGGGAACTGCAACTGCTCTCCCTGGACCTAGGGCTGTAGAGGGTGTGGCCTCTCCCTGTCTGTATAAGCTTGGGTACCCACTTGGCCTCTCTGGGCCTGTCTGCGTGTTCACCAGTAAAATGGGGAATCTGCCTCCCAGGTGGCTCCAGGGCCTGGTATCCAACAAAGATCCTCCAAACTGGTTGAGCCATAAACATTTTCTAAGTACCTACTATGTGCCTGTCACTCTGTTGGCACTCTGGCACTAGGAGAGTTGTCACCAGCAGGGGTAGGGACAGTGAGTGTGCCAATACTAGCCCTGCCATGAACACGCTGTATGACCTAGGATAAGTGTCTAGAGGTTTCTGAATCCTTCATGTATAAAATGATGTTAGTGGAGGACTAACAGGCTGCAGAGTGCTAACTCTGCCCTGCCCCGACTGCTTTCTCAGTGATGAGTATGAGATAAGACCTTCCCAAGATTACACACCAGGAAGTGATATAGCCAGAACTCAAAGCAGGCCTCCTAACTTTAAGTTTGGGGATGCTTTTATACCCCTCACTCCTGCTCATCAGGGGGCATCCAGCCCAGCCTGGCCCAGCTTGGCCCAGTAGTTTTAGGGAAAAGGATGAGAGGAAGTGTGGGGCAGAGCCCCGGAGTTAGGCATTAGGTAAAACTAGACAGTATGTACAGACAGCAACAGTGTCACTGCTGGAAAAGGGTCCTGCGGTCACTCAGCAAACACAGTCATGTGCCGTGTAAGGCCACTTCTGTTAGTGACAGACTGCATTTACCGCAGTAGTCTTGTAAGATTATAATACTGTATTTTTACTGTACCTTCTCTATGTTTAGATACACAAATACTCACCATTGTGTTACAGCTACCTATAGGATTCAGCATGGTCACATGCATACAGGTGCGTAGCCTAGGGGCAATGGGCTGAACCATACAGCTCAGGTGTGTAGTGGGCTGTGGTACATCATACCACAATGTTGGTACGATGATGAAATTGCCTTAGAACATGACATGTCCCTGTCGTTAAGTGACATATGACTGTATCTACTAACCACCTACCATGGGCCAGGCACAGTGAGAAACTCATGCACTCACTGCATGTGTGACTGTCGCCATTACCAATGACCAGGCCTGTCTTACAGAGGGAAAAGGTGAAGCCTGGGCAGGGGCAGTCACTTGCTGGGGAGTTGCTGAGCCTGGATTTGAACCCACATCCCTCTGGGACCCCAGCCCCCACTTTGTCATCTGCTAAGAGCAGGCCTCCCTCTCTGGAAGACGTGTCTTCTGGTGGGGGGTGGACAGCCTTGCAGTACTGCCACCACGTTGTATTCCTTTGTCTGCCCCCAGACCTGCCCCTGGAATGAGTCCAGTTGTGTGTCTTTCATCCTTGGCTCTTGAGTTTGCCCCCAGTGCAGGAAGCCTGAGGCCTGACCTGGGGGCCCAGGCCCCAACTCTGGGTGAGTCCCCACCCTCCCCTCTCAGAGCTCCAGTTCCCTCACCTGCCAGGTGGGGTGGGGGTAGGGATGCCGTGTACCTGGCTAGCATCGGAGCTCAGGGCTGAGGATGTCCATTCCAAGGCACTTACAATAATGGCAAGTGATAAATAAAACGGAATGAGTTCAAACACAATGTGAGCACTGGGGATTTGAAGCTGCTGGTGGAATGTCCAGCCTATCTATGGGCACCAGGTTATAAATAAGCCCCCTCCCTGCCTTCCTTCTTCCTTTCCTCTTCCTCCTTCCCCCTAGCCTGGGCCCTTTCCTTCCTTCCTTCTGCTGATAGGCCAGCGTTGCTCCTTCTGTAGAACTTGAGTCTGTTTCATGCACAGGGCTGCCCGCCCCCTCGGAAGGAAGGCTCTCTGCCTGACTCAGGTCCTAACTCCTGGATCTTTAGACTGGGGGCGAAGGTGGGCAGTGGGCCTCTGAGGACTTGACATAATAGGGGCTGGAGGCAAGGGTGACAAGCACTGGGGCTTTGGAACCTGTGGCTCTAATAAGCTCACGCTGTCCACCTCTGCTTTGCTGTAGAGGATCTAGAACTGCAGGGTGTTGAAAAAAATGTGGCCACTTTTCCGGAAATGGGGAGTGATCGGCCACATGAGGAGTGACACCTGCTTCCTGAGGTTTGCTCAGGGCTCCATGCCAAGGGCTTTGCATTATTTTCTTCAATCCTCACAAGAGCTCCACAGGGCAGGTACTATTATTCATCGTATTTTATGGATGAAGACACTGAGGCTGGGCACATGGAGGGCCGCCTGGGTCCAGGGCCAGACAGGCAGAGCCAGGCCCTGTCCTCGGGCTCTGACCACTGGACTCTGGTGCCTTCCGGGATGTGGCAGCAGGTGTCAAAAAGAAATTGGGTGCATTATATGATTTCAAACAAAACTCACTAGCACTAGAGCAATGACGTAACTTCAACACTGGCTGCTCAGGGAGGGCCCTGTTGGGGAATCTTTGGCCGAAAGTTCCTGGTCTGTGAAATGAGTGTGAGGGTTCACTGAGAACCCAGACGTAAAGTGCCATGGGTACTGGTGCTCAGTTAGAGCTGGGGCCCAGTCTCTGGAAGGCTGTGTGCAGGGAGAAAGGGGCCGAGAAGGCCACATAACTGTCCCTGTTACCTTCCCTGGTGAAACTGATGTGTCTCCCAGGGTTGTTGTTGTTGTTTTTTCACTTGGTGACTGGGGATTGATGGAGCCGGAGCCTGAGCCTGATCTGGGGCAAAGGAGCCCTGGCAACATGGAAGGCTTGGAGCTCAGATTTCAGGCCAGGGTGAGGGCTTGGGGAGAAGGAGTCAGGATGGTCACAAAGCCCAAGAATGTTTGATAGCAGTGAATGTGGATTGTGTGCAGCCACCTTTGACCAGGGCATGGCCTGAGCTAGTGCCCTGGCCAGAGGCAGGGAAGAGCCGGGGAAGCGCCAGACAGACTCAGGTTGAAAATGCTGCCCTACCGCCTATGGTAGCTGTGTGACCGCAGGCAAGGTCTTCTTCTCTCTGGGCCTTGGTTTCCGAATCTCTAATACAGAAGATTGCAGCCACCTGTTTGGGGGTTTAGACGCTCCTCCTGGCACAGATGAGGAGCTTGGTCCATGTTTCCCCTGCACCCTCTCCACCATCTGCTATCTGAGTTCTAATCTTGTACTGAATTGGGCTGCATGAGGCCATGTATCCGGGCTGACTCAGTCCTGTCCCTCTCTGAGGAAATGCAGCTGAGGGACAGGACAGGACCAAGGAGCCAGAACCCCTTGGTCTGAGTCATGGTTCTGCTGCTTTTCATCTGTGTGCCTTTAGGAAGCCATTTACCATCTCAGGGCCTTGGTTTCCTGGATAATAATAGCACCTACCTATAGGGTTGTTGTGAGGATTGAGAATTAAATGGATTTCTATCATAATAGCTCCCAATGAGTGGTAGCTATAAAAATAGTAGGAAGTATTATCATCATGCGTTTGTGTTACACTCTTAGCTTTGTCCGAGCTTATTCCAGTTGCCACATACTATCTACTTTCATATTTGCTATAAAACTTCTGCAAAGAAGGCCTTGTGCATTGCTTATAATGTCCTATGTGACGGTTCATCCCAGAATTCTTGTCAAGAGAAATGTCATCTTCCTAAATACTTTTCCTCCTTGCTGACAATTTGAGCTATGCAAATCTGCCTTTTAGTTTTTAGTTTTATTTTTAATTTTAAAATTATTATTATTATTATTGTAGACATGGGGTTTCACCATGTTGCCCAGGCTGGTCTCGAACTCCTGAGCTCAGGCAATTCACCCACCTCAGCCTCCCAAAGTGCCAGGATTACAGGCGTGAACCACTGCACCCAGCTTATTATTTTTAAATTCAGTACTTTTTAGTACACTCACAGCAAATCACCCTAATTCCCTTTCTGTCTTGGCTGCCAGGAACCTGAAGTCAGATTTAAATCTCAATCATAGTGGCAATTATAGCTGATTTCTTTGCTTCCATCCTATTCTGTCTGGTTGTCTATTTGACTGCATCTGTGAGATGTATCTCTCTTGTGTCTTTAAGACCTTTATGCAAGAGGTCATGTAAGAAAAGAAATCAACTTATTATTATGTATAGAATTGAGGTAGTTGGTTTAATAGACTTGCTTATCCAGTTTACTGGGCAACTTTGGCTTGGGGGGCCAGGGCAACAGATGTTCAAGGGACCTCAGAGACCACCTTTCTATTTAGGGAAAATAAGGCCCATAATGTTATTTCTTATATGCTATCAACTTTTAATTTGCTTTTCTGAAGCTATGAATATAGTAGGGCTATCTATTTATGCAGCATATTCATCAGGAAATGTTGAATCATAACGAATCACGAAAAAGTATTTACAATATCCTACTGATTGAAAAAGCAGATTATAAAACAGATCGGCCTGCACAGATGTCAGGGTCGCCCTTACCTGCGTGCTTATTAAAATCCAGCTGTTCCTGGACTCTGGAGAGAGAACCAAGGTCTCTTAGGATGGGGTCTGACACCAGTGCTTTCAACAGGCTCCACAGCAAAATCTGAAAACTCTTTATTAGCTGGTGATGTTCAGCAAGGTAACCCACTTTTCTGTGCCTCAGTTTCCTCATCTTTGTTTGTTTGTTTGTTTTTTATTTCCATAGGTTTTTGGGGAACAGGTGGTATTTGGTTACATTAGTAAGTTCCTCAGTGGTGGTTTGTGGGAATTTGATACACTCATCACCCAAGCAGTATACACTGAACCCAAGGTTTCCTCATCTTTAAAATGGGCATAACCATGGCCACTACCTCAGGGGTTGTCAGGATGACATCTCAGCCTAGGCCTTGGCATGCTGTAAGTGCTTAAAAATGCTTGCTAAAATGATCACTGTTGCTGGTCCAACTCTTGAGCATTTCACACAGGGAAAACGGGGCTGAGGCCTGGCTCGGCCACCCACTGGCTGTGTTGACTATGTGCCGGGCCCTGCCCCTTGGGCCTCGGTTTTCTCCCCTGGAAGGAGAGGATTATTTGTGTGAGCCATGAGTGCCCCTGGTGCGGATGTGGTGGCCAGGTGTGCAGAGTGGGTCGTGGGTCCGAGGACCATCTTACCTTCATTGCCCTCGCCAGGTGGGTGGTAGAAGGACAGCCCCAGGGAGATGATGGCGGCGATCTCCAGGATGATGAGTGTCACATCCTGCAGTGCCTCCCACACGAGCTGCAGGAAGGTTTTTGGCTTTTTTGGAGGTATAAAGTTTTGCCCAAAAATTTGCTTTCTCTTTTCCAGGTCTGGAGCGGTGCCTGGCAAACCTGCAGACAGAGAGCAGAGAGGTTGGCCTGGGGGCTCGGGAGAGACACAGGCGTGTTCTGGGAATGTAGGGACAGAGAGGGAGAAACAGAGCAAGAAACTTGCAGGCAGCTGGTCCAGGAGCCCAACATCTCTTGGTGCTTTGGGTCCTAAGCGGGTTCCTGTCAAAAGCCAGAGACATCACACAGTGGGTTGAATGGCAGCCCCCAAAATATACATCCACATCATGATCCCCAGAACCTGTGAATGTGACCTCATTTTGGAAAATACTCTTTGTTTTTGTACTTAAGGTCTCATGATGAGAGCATCCAGGATTATGTCTGGGTCCTAAATGCAATGACAGGTATCCTTACAAGAGACACAGACACAGAGGGAAGATGGCCACGTAAAAACAGAGGCAGGGATTGGAGTGGTGCAGCCACAAGCCAGGAAACAGCTGGGGCCACCAGAAGCTGGAAGATGCAAGGAAGGACTGTTCCCTGCTCTTCAGGTGGAGGTGGCCCTGCTGACACCTGATTTCTCACTTCTGGCCTCGAGTCATAGAGAATAAACTTGACTTGTTTTAAGCCACACTCAGTCTGTGGTCATTTGCTGTGGCAGCCCCAGGAATTGAATCCACACTCCTACAGCCACCTCGCACTGGCACCCTCCTTTCACTGTCCCTCCTGTCGAATGCCACGCAGTATTTAGAGAAGAATCAGAAGCCACTGTTTGGATTAAAATCCCAGTGTGATGGCCTTAGCTCTCCGAGCCTCAGTATCCCCTTCTGTAATAGGGATGATGGTTGTACTTAACCCAAGGGTGGTTGTGAATATCACATGAGGTAATTCATGTCATCCACGAGCATTTATTGAGTACCTACTACGTGCCTGGCACAGTTGCAGACACTGGAACAGAGCAGCCCACCAGACAGAAGAGTGCCCACTCAGGAGCGGCCCTTACTGTGGATGCCTTGCAACGTGCTCGGAGCATGCCTGGTGGAGGTGCAGCTGATGCTGGTGGTTTCTCCTCTTCTGGACAAGGGAGTGAGCTATATAGCCAGGTGCACCCCTCATCACGTGGGGCCCAGACAGAGTGACAGGGGCCCGCTTCCACCCACCATCTGCATTTCCAGATAATTCTTCCAGACTTGCAAGTCCACTCTCACGCCCCTGCTCAAAGGCCTTGGAAGCCACTCAATGTCTTTGGAATAAAGCCAACATTTCCCAGCCTGGTTCCCTGGCCCCCTCATCTGACCTGCAACCTGTGTCTGCAGCCTTGGCTTTTGCCATGTGGCTTCCTCCCAGCAGAGCCAGGCCAGCACTTTGCCTTCCTCCTGCCACACTGTGACCATGCTGTGCCCTTCCCTGCTCTGGCACTGGCTGCTGTTTGCCTGTCTCTACATCCCCTCCTAAACTCCTTGGTACCAGGGTATGGTCAATCCACAATTGGCAAACCCCAGGTGTACCTCCTGTACTTTGGAAGAGGGGCCTGGAAGGGTGAACCTCTCATGGAGGAAATTCAGGCATGTGACCAGGAGGGGCATGGCTCTGGTAGGGAGGGCTACCTCTGTCCACTGTCTGCTGTGCCCCTCAGAGGCTGGTGCTTCTTCTTGTTTCAGCCTTCCTTTCAAGTTGCTCATGTCACCCCAAGTTGCTGGTGTGCCATTTTATTTTTCCATAACAAGTGTCCCGTCACACTCCTGGGCCTTTGCTCCTGCTGTTCAGCAAACTACGAACAGCCTTTCCTCCACTCAGCACTGTGAACACCTTTCAAGGGCTGTTGGGCAGCCCTCCCTCCACCCCAGGCAGACAGTGGCCCTCTGCCCTTACTTCCCACAGCTTTCCCCTCAGTGGGCTCACCGGTTCCCCGGACCTGTGTCCTACCTGGGCTGTGGCACCTTGGGAGCAAAGACTAGTCTGATTCCTGTCACTCAGGGCCTGGCACCTGAAGCCTGAGAATCATCCCACCCACTAAATGCAGGTCTGAGTGTGTGAGCCTGGCCCGAGGTGTGCAGCCTGGCCCGAACAGTGCACACAAATGGGTCCTTGCAGCGGGGCAATGCCAGTCCTGTTGCCGACCCAGCGAACCCTAGCTCTTCTTGTGTCTTAGTGAGGACAGATCAGGGGTGGACAGGGAGGGGCACACCCTCCTGAGAACAGCACTACCGGCATGCTGGGGGTTGCAGGACTGCACCATGTGGCTGTTACATTGATGGGACCTCGTGGTCTAATACATGGTTTTAGGATTCTAACAGCCTGTTGTTGACTGCCTCATTTACCCATTCATTCATTCACTCATTCATTCATTCATTGAATTTACATTTCTGGAGCCCCCATTGTGGGCCTAGCCTGGTTCTGGGAAGAGTGATGTGCAGAGAACAGACCGGGCTGCTCACGGATGTAAGAGTCAGCAGTTCCGTGAGTCCAGCAGCCTGTGGTTTGGGAGTCTGTCTGGGGTTCTAGATACGGAGTCTCCTCAGATGCTGACTATGAGATCTCCATCAGGAGCCTCCAAGGGTCAGGCTGGCTGAGATACCCACACCTGGGGAGCCCAGCAATGGCTCCTTCCCTAGAAGACCTCACACTAGCCTGACTGTCAGTACAGGTAAGCTCTGGGGATCCCATGTCCTGCAGGCAGTGAGAACGAGAGAACCCAGAGGCAGGTTAGGCTCATTTCATAGATGGGAGACAGGCTGCTCTGAGACCAAGCTGCTGCCATGGGGCAGCTCCTGAGTCCTGAGAGCCCCGCTAGCCCTGATCTAAGCATGTGGAAACACTGCCTCCACTGTTTAATGCTGGGCTGGCCATCTGGGAGATCCATGTGCAGAGTGTGCAGGCACGGCACACTGCAGTGTGATTCCAGGAACAGCAGGAAGCTTCCTCGTCTTCCTCCTCTGGTCCAATTCTACCCACAGCCAACACCTGGAATTCCTCTACTTGACCTTTATTCCTTTAATTAAAAGCTCCAATTCCTTTAGACTTTCTGGGAGGGGGAAGCCATCATCAGTTCTGGATGCCATGGTGTGAATGTGTTTCAGGCTTTTTCCTGGAATGGGTTTTGACAAGGGAGAAGGGAGAGTTCAAGAGGGTAGTGGGCCTCTGAGGGAGGGGCTATGACCAGCCAACACAGGCCTGTTATGGCAGTTTGCTGTGGCTTTGGCCAGCCAATTCTCTCCTCTGAGCTGCAGTTTCTCCATTTCAGCAATGGGAATGTTCAACCAGATGGGTAAGTCCTGAGAATCCCAGGGGTTTCGAGGTCTGCAGGTCCTGAAATGGTTCTCCTGGGGTCTGTTTTCACATTTTGGGGCTCCTCATGAAATTTGGTGCAAATTAACGTCTTTGCCAAGAAAAAGTAAGGGTGAGGGCAGCCAATCTTCTGGGCCCTGCCTGATTAATTACAAGAAAGGGGAGTCTCTGAACCTTCTGAGTTCTGGAATTCAAACATTCTGGAGTCCACAGTGTAAATAGTTGATAATGTGGGTGTTCCGTTGTGGAAGTCAGGCCACATCATGCTGGGGCTCTGTCATGCTGGGAATTCATAGGCCAGGCATTGCGATCCTGAGTCCTGGGACAGCAGACAGAGCAGGGGCTGCAAATGTGATAGATGTGGGGGATGGGTAGGTTTTATGAATGAGTGAAGTAGGTGAGTGGGTGACATTAGGGAGTAGTAGAAACTGGAGCAAAGTGAAGAACCTTGGCCCTTCTGAAGAGGACAGATGCTTTTCAGCTCCTGTGGGGGAATGTGGGCTCAGGGTGGCAGATCTGCCAATCTTCTAAGAGAAGCTGGACATCTGGAATTTGACGTAAAATCTCCCCATTAAAAACATGCCAGGGTCAAATACAACATACCTGTGGGCTGGATTCAGCCCCTAAGTTGCTAGTTTGAGACCCCCAAGACTATGGGTTGAGACAGGGTGATGTGGATGGAAAGGTGAGGAGTCGGCACAGAGCAGCTTCTCTGTCCCTCCCACTCCCGGGCACCTCCCTCCCCAGCCCCCGCCCTTGCCCACTCCCCACAGACTTCTGAGAGGCCCTCTGTTTTTCAGAAATAACAACTCAGGGCATAAAAACATTGTGTGTTCTGCAGGGCTGTTCCCATGGCAGTTTCCACAACAAGCATCTCAGAATCAAAATCCAAGATGGGAACCCTGGGCACTGAGGCTCACATGTGTCCTCTGAGATGGTGGAGGTGGCCACAATGTCTTGCTTGCTCCCCTCTTCTCAGCAGAAGAACAGCCAAGCCAGAGCTGAGGCTTGGCTCCAAGTTCAAACCTCACCCCAAGAACACAGGAGAGGTTTGAACTCGGATGGCTGCGTTCAAATCCCAGCTCTGAGTGACCTTGGGTAAGTGGCTTCACTTCTCACTGCCTCAGTTTCTCCTTTTGTAAAATGCAGACAACAGCAGTCCCTATTTTACAGGGTTAGAGAGAGGCTTCAGCAAGATGTCTCACATAAGGAGCGTAGCGCTGTGCCTGGCACCAGGTAAGTGCAGTGTCATTATTACCGTCCAGTTTTTAGGCTGTGTAGGAGACTAAGCCAGACCTTCTGGAGAGGAAGACTTTGGACTGGCAGGATTTTGACAAGATGGGAAGGGGTCAGTCAAGGTGAGGAGAGGCACAGCAGAAGGACCTTGTGACTGCAGACAAGCCATTTCCCTTCTTTGGGTCTCTGTTTCCCCACATGTGACATGAAGGATTGATCTGGATGAAGGCTAGGGCTGGTGGCCCTGGTACTTGGTATCCAAAGACAGGGGTTTTGGGGACCTGCAGGTGAGACAGCTTGCCCGGTCCAGCCTATCTGTTATGCCCTTACCAGGAGCTGAATCTTGTGGTCTCTTTTCCCTTCTGCTGAAAATTAACACAGATATTTTTGGGAGTGGAAACAACAGAGGCTGGTGTGAGAGAGGAATGGCATTGGAGATTCAATTTAGATTAAGGAGCATCTCACCATTTAGCATATTAAAAATTAATACAGTGTGTCAAAGATCACTGGACAAAGGCAGCATGGCCCTGCAAATTCAA